TTGATTGAGGAGCTGGGACGGCGGTCAAACTAGAATGCAATTTGATTGAGGCGATGCGCCGGCGGAGCAAAGTCACACTAGTTGGGGGAAGCCTGTTTGGATGGGAAAAAAACTCAAGTAAAATCAAGGGAAGGCCCTGGCCGGCGCGGAAAGGAAGGAAGCGATCAATGGAGTGCGCCGCGATCGAGGAGGGTTGACGTGGAAGAGATTGGCGGAATTACCAATTTCCACCGCACACACCTTGTTGGGATTTACGTTAGAGACTACAAAGCCATTATGGAATTATTGAGGTTGGTCAATTAAGTGAGAAGTTTGTTGGTGGCAAATGTTAACGTGGCTAGAGATATTGAATGGGTTTATTTAGGTTTTTGCAAATGGAAAAGCACAATCCGCTAGCTCCACCATATGCCCAGGTATGAGTTCTCGAAATTCAAACTAATGGCTTGATCAATTTGGTGAGTGTTTGAGGGGTAAATTCTATGTTTTGCGTATTTTTAAGTATTTGTTTTACGAGTTTTAAGTATTTTTATAAATTGGTTGATATTGTTGTTTATGCTTATGGTTGATGGTTCGTGTTTTATTTGAGTTATGATTTGAAGTAAATGTTTATGAGTTTATTATTTACTTTGAAGCTTTATGTTTACGAGTTATTGTTGAAGTTTCATAAACAAGTTTCTTTTAAGAAGTACTACATCTTCAAAGAAGGTGGAATCGTTTTAAGAGTTTTTAGTCAATAGCGTAAGTCCGTTGCCCATTTGAGATTTTGAGATAGAGCAGCAATTATGCTCTTGGGACTGAGACTTTTAGGATGAGCAACAGTTATGCTCTTGAGAATTGTGAGGATGAATCTTTCACGATAAGTTTAAGATGTAAGGGGGATGAATCGTTACGATTCCCCTACCTAAGTTTAAGTTTAAGGAAAGCCTGTATGGGATCTCATACGTATGAGTTGAGCAATCGGACTAGCTAGTGAGGGATCACGTGTCAGCCAAATATTTGAGTCGAGATTTTTTATCTTTAAGAAGGGAGAGTAGCTTTAGCACCCATACAGTTTTAAGAGTTAAAATTTTTAAGAGTGGAAGTACAAACAACTTTCACTAATTTAAGTAAGTGTTTAAGTAAAGTGTTCAAGTATTAGATATTTTAAATTTAAGGGGGAAAACTGACTCTAAATCACTCACCAGACCGTAGTAAGGGAATGAGCGAGCATCCGATTCGAGAGCAGCTAGTTTGAGGAGAGAAGCACGAGCGTCAGTGAAGATGTTGGAGAAATGGATCTCAAATAGCGACAACACGAACTTTGTAGGTATTTCAATTTATGATTATAAGTATAGATCGGAGAATAAAATTACGGGATTGTTTGGATTGATTATTTGAAAAACTTGTTATTTGGGGGCAATTACCACACAGATACCACATGATATAAAACTTATTATTTGGTCTCAAACTTGTTATTTGGCAAATACCTGCACCCTCCCAAGTATTTGGCAAACAACACTTTTTGTGTTATTTGGGTTATTTTTTCAAGTCTTTTCAGTTTTATTTTGGTTCACACTTTATCAAGTGCTTTTTGGTAAAAGTAGTACACGTCCTGATTAGAGTGTTACATTTCGGATCTTAGGAATATATTTTAAGTCTAGTATATTTAGATTAATAAAGATATTTAGGTAGTTACATATACATCTTTAATATATATTATTTATTTTAACTTGAGATTTTGGAAGTATACCTGAAGAGTTTTAATATCAATAGACAACTACTACAAACTCAAATTCGAAAAAAACTAGAATCCGAAAAAATTATGTTTCTCAAGGGTGATATCAATGCTTACAAGTTACAATGGCCTCTTCTTTCACTTTCAAATCCTCTTGACAACTTGAACGATCCCACCCCATCTCCATTCCTACTATTGTACGTAGATTATTATTTAGATCTCTCCATTCCTTATCGTTGTTGTTTTGCACCTTGAATAAGGTTGGTGGATGACATAGTGTGTTTGTTGTCTGCAAGTTGCGAAGGTTCTAATATAGATCAGTTTCTCACCTACTATCGTGCAAGCTGTAGATTGAAAGATGTTGACACGTGTGAAATCTTCTAATGGTAATGGGGATGTTGGTAATACTGTTGAGGTGAGTTAAAGCATGAATTAAGAGAGTGAAAGTTATTTATGGCAGGCGGTGGGTTTCGTCTAGTAGCATAATCTTAGATATGGTAATTAAATACTTTAAATGGATGGCAATATCGCCAACTTAGTGTAGGGGCATCTTAGAACCTCTAAAGAAGCCAAATAGACTTAGTCTTTATATTTTTATATGCTCTCTTCGCCACAAAACTAATGTGAAATTATATCCTTTTTGGCTTTATTCTATTTCATATATCCCTTTTTGGAAATCAACTGCTTTAATAGTTTCATCACTAGGTATTCCACCAATGGTTCAATGTTTTTTTGTTTTCTATTCCTACTCTTGAAATTATAATATTTCAAAAGGGATTTAATTATGTAAACTGTTAATTTGTAAGGAAAAATCTCAGGTATTGAGACTCTAATCCAAAGTAATCATGACCATATCAAGGTGTTTTTTCTATTGAACGAAGAGAATATGAACTGGAGAGGATCTAGATTGTTGAATCTTATGAAAACTAGTGTTGATCGGTATAGATAGTTGTGAGAAACCACCGACAATATGGAGAAGGACATCCGAGCGCTAGGAGAAACCCAACAAGAAGAGCTTATGTAGTTGAGAAAGGAGGTGCATCGCTTGAACGAGGAGATTAGAGTCTTAAAGGATGATGTGGTGCTGGCTGTGAAGAGCAAACTGTGTTAGTTTTTCCCATTTCCGAAGAAAGTTAAAATAGTTGATCTGAAAGGGGAAGACAATATTGGGGTGAGTTACTGTTACACTGTATATAGGTTTGTTTGGGTTCTTTACCGGTTGAGTTTAACTCCTTAATTATAAATATATCATTTGTGCAGGGAAAATCAAACTTGTACGTTGAACTGGATCTCGTTGCATGGCTGGAAAACTAAAGGTGTTCTTGTTTCAAGATAGCAACAAACCCAAGATGGAGCATAAGAAATTTAGAGTTGGGCCATTCAAAGTGGGTATTCGTGTCAGTGCCGAGGACAACATGTTACTGGACTATGTGTTTCGTACCTGTAACGAGGGAGGGTAATTATTTCATCACCCATTTCAATTTATTAACTAATGTTGTCTTCGTGACTCTAAGTTAACTTATTGTTTTGTTTATTAGTGAAGAAAAGATTGCTATGATAATTTGCACCTTTTTAACAAGAGAGGATATGTTGACACTGGCACCTAAATCTCTACTGAGCACTCTGGTAAGTAGTGCATGTTTGGACATTGATATACATTTACAAAGTAACCTACCAAAACTAGTATAATTAACCTGTTGAATTGCAGATTGTTGACATCATTGTCAAAAGGTTGACATGGATAAAACAAAAAGGGAATCTACCTTTCTGCCCGTTAAATTTGCAGTATGAAATTTATTTCGCTTGTGGCTTTAAGATTTGCATTTCACTGATAATCTTTTTGACTTAGGCGAAAGCTTCTGGAGATAGAAAGGACATACGAAACTTCATCAGAAAAGAAAACGTGAAAACTCTATACTGTTCTGACATTTGTGAATTTGTATCTATATTATAGTTAATGTTGGGTTTCATGATGTGTAAAAATGTTCTTTTTCTGTTTTTCATATAGATATTCATTCACATATACATGGGTAACCATTTCTTGCTATGCGTGGTAAATCTGAAGAAGCAAGTGTACTGTATTTGGGACTCTTTATTCATGCATGAAGAAGACCGAAATTGAGCAAAAGTTGGTGGACATTGTAAGTAGAGTTTGTAGAGATCTCAATATGCTAATAGATAAAATCGCACTAAAATTCACTTATGAAATTACACTGAGCAGTCTTGGATATATTATTTGTTGATGGCGGCGTTGAGTGGTTCCTTGGTGTTAACTCATTCCTAAATTTTGAGTTCGACGAAACAAATGATGCTCCCCGGCAACCAATAAGTAAGTAGTACATCAATGTCTTCATTTTTAAACCATTTTTCAAATAAGGTGATTAATATAGCTACGTTCTTTGTACAATTGGGATTGTGGTATATTTGTGATCAATTTGATGAAATGTGGCCGCTTCTTGACCAAAAAAAATTGCAAAGTGTATGGGGAAGCAGGTAAGTTGATTAAACTGACTCATTCTCCATTTATTGTGGTTTCAAATTTTAATTATCAATTAATTTGTAATTTCAAAGTTCAAAAGTGAGGAGGGCCGTTTGACGTTGGTGCCGGAACTTATCATTTGCACCCCGAATGAGAGGATAACCTTACTTGACAAAGCAAGAAAACTAGTCGTATGAAGAAGCTTTACTTGATGAAGTGAGGTGAATGAGATGTTTATCAATATTTTGTTCTATTTCAACAATTGGCCTCAATCTTTTTTTAATCTTTCTTATGTTGCTTGGATAGTTAGTTCTTTGACGAGGGATTGGATCATTGGAATCTTGTTCATTTCTTATGTTGCTGGGATTATTAGTTCGTTGATGAGGATTGGAATCTTGCTCATTTCTTATGTTGCTGGGATTATTAGTTCTTTGATGAGGATTGGAATCTTGCTCATTTCATATGTTGTTAGGACTATTATTTCTATGATAATGAGGATTGTATTTATTTATTAGGTCTCCACAAGCCCCCTCCCCCTGAACTCTAACCCGTATGCAGGCTATATGTTTTGAAGCTATTTAGACTTGCTTTGCAAGTCCTCTGCCCCTAAAATTTTTGTTCTAGAGGGATTGAACCCACTACCTTAAGGTTATAGACTTTCCCATTCCATATTAGTCAATAAAGTCAGCATCTTAAACCACTAGGCTGGTCGCCTATTACTTGTACAAATGTCAATCTCTTTAGAAAAGAAGGGGGGGGGGGGGGGTTTGTGATGATCTTTTTTATACTAGGTAATCTAGTATCCTTATGCATGAAGATAATCAATTCGGTCGTTGTGGTCGGACTCTATTATGGATTTCTGACCACATTCTCCATGGGGCCTTCTTATCTCTTCCTTCTCCGAGCTCGGGTTATAGAAGAAGGAGAAGAAGGAACCGAGAAGAAGGTATCAGCAACAACAGGTTTTATTACGGGACAGCTCATGATGTTTCTATCGATCTATTATGCGCCTCTGCATCTAGCATTGGGTAGACCTCATACAATAACTGTCCTAGCCCTACCATATCTTTTATTGAATTTCTTTTGGAACAATCACAAACACTTTTTTGATTATGGATCCACTACCGGAAATTCAATGCGTAAGCTTAGTATTCAATGTGTATTCCTGAACAATTTCATTTTTCAATTATTCAACCATTTCCTTTTACCAAGTTCAATGTTAATCCGAAAACAATATTCAATATTTTGAATATTAATTATTTGAATATTAATTATTAATTTAATTCCAAATGTAATTAAAAAAGAGAAAATTCTTCTTTTTAGAAATTTAGAAAATAAAGAAAGTAGTAAATTACTAAGTAAATTACTAAAAAAATTAATACATAAAATAAGTACAATAAAAGATAAGAAGAAATGCGGCCCCCTCCTACATATTTTAGAACCTCTCCTAGAAAGAAACTCGTAAAACCAACTCCATTGATAATTCCATCAATTACTCGTCTATCAAAAAAATGAGTAAATTTCGCAAATGTTCTTACCCCCTCACTTAATGATTTTTCATAAAAGGTATCTATGTAACCACGATTATAGGACCAATCATATATAACATGTAATATTTTATCCCTAAGAACTCTTTTAAGACCTTTTTTAGCAAACGAATTAAAGAAGTTCAAATTTTGAAATGATGAATAAACAGGCTTATATAAAGAAGACGCTATAAATATTCCAAAATAAGCTATACTGACTGAAAAGGTTGCGTTTGTTAGAAATTCCGACCAATCGGAAGAATTTTGTTCATTTTTTTGAAAAAAGTTTAAAGACGGCATTAACAATTTGGATAATATATCCAAATTCATTCCTTCTTGATTGAATTCATTGAACGGGATTCCTATGCCTGCAATAAACAAAGTAAATAATCCCAATACAAGAATCGGAAATAACATAGTCTTATCTGATTCCTGGGGATAAAAAAAAAAGCCTTTAGTGCTAAAATGATTAGTAATAATAAAGGGCCATCCCCTTTTTCTTTCATTACTCTCAATTGGATATATATTTTTCCAAGAAAAGAAAACCCTTTCATTTTATTATTTATTCAGACTCAGAGGGGGAAATGCATTGGAGTACTGATGTATACCATGCACCTGAATTTACATATAGTAATGTACACCTCTTACCAAAAACAAGTCATTTATGGATATTATCGGGGTGTTCTCGTGGATTCAGTATAGTTCCTTTTTCACTACATAAGGATCAAGATCAAATAAACGTTCATTCTCTTTCTGTCGAAAGACAATCCATTTTGAGCCTTTCAGTAAATAATGAGCAAGTTAAAAGCAAATTCTTTAGTTCAAATCTTTCGGGTAAAAAAGAAAGTAGGATTCCGGATTATTCAGAACTAAATCGAGTCATATGTACGGATCATTGTCATCTCATATATCCTGAGACTCTCTATGAGAATTCTTATTTATTGGCAAAAAGGCGAACAAATCGATTCATCATCCCCTTCCAGTCGATTCAAGAAAAAGAGAAAGAACTAATGCCCCTTTTGGGTATCTCGATTCAAATACCGACAAATGGTATTTTCCGCAGAAATAGTATTTTTGCTTATTTCGACGATCCCCAATATCGAAGAAACAGTTCAGGAATTACTAAATATGGGGCTTTAGATGTACATTCAATCATAAACATAAAAAAAGAGGATTTGATTGAGTATCGAGGAATCAAAGAATTTAAACCAAAATACCAAATGAAAATAGATCGCTTTTTTTTCATTCCCGAGGAAGTTTATATTTTCCCCGAGTCCTCTCCCCTAATGGTACGGAACAATAGTATCATTGGAGTAGATACACAAATCACTTTAAATACAAGAAGCCGAGTAGGCGGATTGATTCGAGTGGAGAGAAAAAAAAAAAAATTTGAAGTGAAAATTTTTTCTGGAGATATCCATTTTCCGGGAGCGACCGATAAGATATCGCGCCACAGTGGTATCTTGATACCACCGGGAACAGTAACATCAAATTCTAAAAAATTGAAAAAAGTCAAAAGTTGGATTTATGTACAACGGATCACACCTACCAAGAAAAGATATTTTGTTCTAGTTCGACCGGTAATTATATATGAAATAGCGGACGGTATAAATTTAGAACCACTTTTCACCCAGGATGTATTGCAGGAAAAGGATAATCTGAAATTTCAAGTTGTCAATTACATTCTTTATGGAAATGATAATGGTAAACCGATTCGGGGAATTTTGGACACAAGTATTCAATTAGTTCGGACTTGTTTAGTGTTGAATTGGGACCAAAACAAAAAAGGTTCTTCTATCGAGGAAGCCCGCGCTTCTTTTGTTGAAGTAAGTATAAAAGGTCTGGTTTGTAATTTCCTCAAAATCCGCTTATTGAAATCCCATATTTCATATATTAGCAAAAAAAGGAATGATCCCCGAGGTTCCGAATTTTTCTCTGATAATGGTTCAACTCACACCAATATTAATCCATTTTATTTCAATTATTCTAAGGCAAAGATTCAACCATCACTTAAACAAAATCAAGGAACCATTAGTACATTGTTGAATAGAAATAAAGAATCTCAATCTTTGATAATTTTGTCATCATCTAATTGTTTTCGAATGGATCTATTCAACGATGTAAAATCGAAAAATGCAATAAAAGAATCAATTAAAAGAGATCCTAGAATTCCAATTACGAATTCGTTGGGGCCTTTAGGAGCAGCCCCTCAAATTGTTAATTTTTTTTCATTTTACCATTTAATGACGCATAATCAGATCTCGATAAATAAATATTTGAAACTTGACAAGTTAAAACAGACTTTTCGCGTACTTAAATATTATTTAATGGGTGAAAACGGGAGAATCGGTAATCCTGATCCGTATTCGGGTGGTAAGAGTGTATTGAATCCATTTAATTTGGATTGGTATTTTCTCCATGAAAATTATAATCATAATTATTGTGCCGAAACAGTCACATTAATTAGCCTGGGGCAGTTTATTTGTGAAAATGTATGTATGGCCAAAGATGGACCATACCTCCAATCTGGTCAAGTTATAATTGTTTACGTTGATTCTGTCGTAATAAGATCTGCTAAACCTTATTTGGCCACTCCGGAAGCAACTGTTCATGGCCATTACGGAAAAATCCTTTACGAAGGGGATACATTAGTTACATTTATCATTTTCTATAGGTACAACCTTACGTAAACCAGTATAATTAACCTGTTGAATTGCAGATTGTTGACACCATTGTCAAAAGGTTGACATGGGAAGACATGGATAAAACAAAAAGGGAATGTGCCTTTCTGCCCGTTAAATTTGCAGTATGAAATTTATTTCGCTTGTGGCTTTAAGATTTGCATTTCACTGATAATCTTACTAACTTAGGCGAAAGCTTCTGGAGATAGAAAGGACATACGGAACTTCATAAGAAAAGAGAACGTGAAAACTCTATACTGTTCTGACATTTGTGACTGCGAGGCAGTGTGTATTTTTTTCTTGTGAATTTGTATCTATATTATAGTTAATGTTGGGTTTCATGTTGTGTAAAAATGTTCTTTTTATGTTTTTCATATAGATATTCATTCACATATACATGGGTCACCATTTCTTGCTATGCGTGGTAAATCTGAAAGAGGCAAGAGTACTGTATTTGGGACTCTTTATTCATGCATGAAGAAGACCGAAATTGAGCAAAAGTTGGTGGACATTGTAAGTAGAGTTTGTAGAGATCTCAATATGCTAATAGATAAAATCGCACTAAAATTCACTTATGAAATTAAAGTTAGCAGTCTTGGATATATTATTTGTTGATGGCGGCGGTGAGTGGTTCCTTGGTGTTAACTCATTCCTAAATTTTGAGTTCGACGAAACAAATGATGCTCCCCGACAACCAATAAGTAAGTAGTATATCAATGTCTTTATTTGTAAACCATTTTTTTCAAATAAGGTGATTAATATAGCTACGTTCTTTGTACAAGTGGGATTGTGGTATATTTGTGATCAATTTGATGAAATGTGGCCGCTTCTAGAGCAAAAAAATTGCAAAGTGTATGGGGAAGCAGGTAAGTTGATTAGATTGACTCATGCTCCATTTATTGTGGTTTCAAATCCAAAACTAAGTAAACATTGTAAACAACACACTCAAATCCAAAACTAAGTATCAAATAATTTAAGGGAGAAAACAACAAAATCATAAACTAGTCCAGTTGAACATCTATGTTGTCGCATCACTAGTTGACTGCCTTCTACATTGTTTGAGTATTTTCGAGATTTATACGCTATTTTGGATACATTCAAATATCGTTTCGGTTGCTTCTACGAGCTCATCTTGTTGAGGAAGATGGGTACAAAAGTTGATCCAACATCGTGTTTGAAACTTCGTAATGACAAAACATCTACGAGCTCGTCTTTTCCGTCAACAGGCGGCCAAAGCTCTCCTTTTTTTGCCTCCAAGTATGAATTCATAATCCCTAAAATCAAGCTCTCAGGTTCTCTGGTTCCAATCTTTTGAGGAGATACAAAGATCGGCAGCAATGATGATGCAACAACCTGTTATGAAACCAATGTTGATCTCCATAGGAAGATAAAGTGGGGACCTGATTTCGCACAGGATGTTGCTGTGAAAAAGAGGAGGGTTTTAGCTTATCAGGTATGTGGAGGATTGATGCCATTGGCCAACTAGTACTGCGGTTACCAGTGACTGCTTTATTTATGTTCCTAGGGTTTTGTTTGTTCTCTTCGCCTTATTGTTTTGAGCATTTCAATCTTAAGCTAGATTTAGTCGTTTCAAACTTTAATGGTCTAAGGAATTGGGGTTAAAAGGCCCTTGTCCCATTGTGTGTTGAAATTCCATGTAAGCTTCCCATTCCAGGTGCTATTAAGTGATCTGCAAATTTTGTACAGACTCGAGTGGATCAAATCTCACAACAGCAAAGACAGGGGAATCTCGATCTAGGTGAATATGAGGACTCAGAAGAGTCTGTTGGATGTGCAGATTTGGAGCCTTCCAAATCACTAGTTGAGGCTAAGGTGCAATTAACATGCGAATCTAAGCAAATAATTTGAACTTTATTTGCCAAACAAATAAAAACGAGTATCCTAAGGATCTGCACTTCAGCTACCAATCTCACCACAATATAAGAAAACTAGTAATTGTGCAGCAGGTTTTGCAGATTGATGCAACAAGATCTGAAGAAAATGTTCAAGAATATAACAACTAGTAGCTATGCAACCTTAACTGCAAAATGATGTAGCTAATTTTGTAGAAAGGTTATACAAAGAGAATGGAAGCTAATCAGTAATCACATCCTCAGCTTCTATCACCTTAGTTGGGACCCTTCAATTTAAGCTAACCATTATGCCACGAATTTTCATTTCATAATCTCTGCCACAAAGCATATCACATAGGTCAAAATTGCTTCAGTAACAGTTGGTCGGAGATTGTGAAACCTGCAACAATAAATGAAAATTGGTATGTTATGGCATGAGAATTTGGAATGGTACATTGTGGAGCTAGAGTAAATTCAAAATGATCTCTTGTCATTTTCCGGAGAGTGCTAAACAAATGGATGATTTGTAATTAGTAAGCTAAAAAAAGTAGGCATACAAATATCTCTCGACTATAAAATAAATAAAAAATTGCAGTGCATACTTACTTCAAGTATAATCGTCGTCCTCCTCCTCCTCATCATCGTCCCCATGCTCGTCTTCATCCTTGTAATCATCCTCGTTGTCCTTATCGGCCTCATTATCAAGCTTGTCCTCTTCCTCAACCTTTGGTGTTCTCTTGTTTCTAACTTGCTCGCTCGAACGTTTATAGCCGATTTTTTGGAGGATTTTTACAAGTGGAGGCATAATGACCAAAATCACCACAAATGCCCAATTTGTCTTGATTTGACAATCTTCCCCTTATTGTTCTTAGTCAGTCGACCACCTTCAAATATGTATGTACCGGATCTTTAATATGTCTATAACGTTCATATGCATCACCTTGATCATATCAAGGATCCTCTGAAGAAGCACCTTCACTAAGAGTACTCATTGCCTTCAATTTCGCACACAATGTAGAAATCTCTACACGAGCAACTTTGAATATACTTGGAGATTCTACACCTATTGATGACAATTGTAAGTTGTGGTACTGTAAAATACCATATCTCCATATGCGTTCTTCTTCCTTTGATGGAGTGTCATTTCTATGAAGATTTTCCAAAGTACCTTTCGGTTTTTTTGTCCACCTCGGCAAAACCAACTATGATGGCATACCGGTACTATGAAATTTCTACTGCACTCCATTTCTGATGTGGTTGGTTGATATGTAACTTCTACGACAACCTCAGAGTCTTCATACATTTTCATCTCATAGACACAGTGAGAAAATCTTTCAAAGATATGTTGATAATGCATCCACCAGATGCTTCGAGTTGCTCCCGAAATGTAAAAATTGTCTCCCTTGAGTAAACACTAGCACCCCTTATTTTGCGATATTTCAAACCTGCGGTTTTTAGCTCAAGAGTCCCATAGTTGGCCTTGAAGTATGCTTACCTCATTCTCTCAGAAATGTCGCAATGCACGATCAATATCATTAACAAACTCCAGGAGATTATGTTAGACATTAACATACTTAATGAATTAATTGACCCCTTCACAGAGAGATGTCGTCCGAACGTTAGCAAAAAACTTATCTCTCAGGTATGCAGTTGCCCACTCTCGTCTTTTCTCATAAGTGTTTCCGATCCATCTATTGTCTACAAGTGAAAGCTTGGTGGTGATTGAAGTCCACTTCTCTTCAAAATCCTCAATCCCACAATCAGCAAATATTCAATTCTTGAACACGAAAAGAAACTCTTTATCCTTCACATTGTCCTTTGCATTACCAAATAGATTCCATGAGCACAAATAGTGGATTGCATCAGGAACAATCTTACTAATAGCATTCACCATTTGCTTTATCTCCATCTGTGACAACTGTATTTGGCTTCTTAACCATCGTTTCCGCAAAGGCTTCTGAGATCCAATTATAAGATTCTTCATTTTCTTTGTTCAAGAGTGCACATGCAAATACACAGATGTTGTCGTGATGATTTACACCTGCAAAAAAAAAATGTAATGTCCAATTCATCACTGCACACCAATTTTAGTAACACTTTAATTTTATCAACATTTTTACATACATTGAACATAGATATGTAAATGTAATCCCACATTAGCATATCCACTAGCTGCATTGGTCACAAAATTCATGATTTGATAAGGTCTTAAACTGACAGATTTCAAACTGGTAACAAGTGATGCATCTGTTTTACTTAACAATAGTGTGATCCAAGGTGATGAACTTGATGGTAGGGAACTAAAAGATTGCAGTGCTCATTCTTGAAGCGATAAGCATGCCATCTCATGTCCTTCTATTTCAAAGACACAAGGAAATAAGCTTCACAATCAAACCCCATTATCGCCCTTGGTTTTATTTTATGTCTGTAGTTTTCTTCTTTCTGAAACCTGTGCCAGAACAAACCCACTTGCGCGATACTATTTCTTTGCTTGTGTTTCGTTAAGTATTACTCTTTCTAATTCCAAATCCAATTGCTTAGGAAAATCTCTTATAGAAAGCTTCAACCATCCTCCACACTATTGAAAAGACATTCTGTAGACATCAGTAGCCTTCAACTTAGTCAAATTTTATCATTCTTCTTCCTCCACATTCTCAACATTAACAGACTGTTATGTTTCTCCTTCTTCCTCATTCTCAAGATTCACAGACTATGCTATTTCTTCTTCCTCTTCACGACTAACAGCTTGTTCAGTCTCCGTTCTTCTTCCACCACAATAAGAGTCTCCTCTAAGTTTGACCCTATCCTAACCACGACCCTGTAAAAATAGAAATAACAATGATTGTAAAAATTAATTCATGAGTTAAGTTCGAAATAAAAAACAAATCACAATTATGGAGGACTAACTCGGCCTCTGTTGTCGGTGCATCCTTGGCCTTGCTGCTGGGATCAATTTCCCCCCTCTAACTTATCCTGCTAACGCGGAGCTAAATGCTTTGGTTTTCTTTTGCCGTAGCGGATTATTGTAATCTTGCATTCTCCTACCACGCAAGAAAAATCTAACGCGCTGGTGGCGTTATTTGCTTACCCTGTTTCCGGGATTTTTCTTACGTAGATTCAGGGTGTTGGATCGTCAAGAAGAAAATAGGTTGAACTGAATTGGAAGGCCAGGGAATGACTAAGTCCCAATTCTGCCGAGTGCTGTGAAGTCAGTCCCAATTATGATGAGAACTAGACGAAAATTGACTGACTAAAAAGGGGACGTGAATATTAATGTCAGACGCAAGCAACTAATATATCTTGGATGAGAACTAGAGGAACACTTGTCAAGATGAATTGATTCTAAAACCTAGAATTGATTTTGAATATATGCTTAACTGTTGAGTTTTTCTTTTCCTTCAAGGGAATATAAGGTGAAGAATAGAAGAAGCCTACTTCCTCTCGGATTCTGACAGGGAAACAAAAGCAAAGTACCCATCGATTTTCATTAAGTTCACTTTTTATGATTTGCATATAAAATGATGCATTCAAACCATCTCTTCATACAAAAAAAACAATAGTAGGGTGTTCCTGTTTCCGACGAGGCTACAACATGAAACCACTCCACCTCCGTCGAAGTTGCAGCCCAACTCTCCAACAGTTCGAAACCGCTTTTAGCCACACGACATGTTGCGTCGCATTTCATTTATATGAAGAAAAGGCTGAAATAATATGCTATTAAGATTAAGAGATTCGTTGGCCATCATTTTAATTGTGGGCCTCCAAAAGTGATACTTGGGCATTTATCACATGCGGGATTAAGTCAAAATGAGAGCCCTAGCCCATAAACATAATCGCAAGGAGAAGAAGAGCCTTTCTCGATCAAACACAGCTTTCCCTTTCTTCAACCCACCTAATTTTTATGTTCTTCAATCAACAACAGAGGGTTCCAACGATGTTTGGTGTGATTTGCTATAATCAGTAAAATTGACGACTGAGTAGTCCCCCCAGAGTCAATCAGTACTAGCAAAAATTAGTTTCCCCCTTCGATTTCCATTTATCAAGCCGAAGCCTTCCCCAACATTTTCACGAACAGGGCCGCACACATCTACCACGCAATGGCTCATTTATTTTATGTGTAATCCACATCCATATCATGCAGATTCGTTCTCCACGATCCACGTTCTTATCATTGCCGTATCATCCCTTGTCTTTCCACGTTGCCGGTGGCACCATCAGAGCTTCTGGCTCGTCGTCGACTCTAACATCAACCGGGATGGTTTTGCACGGTGGATGAGTCAGCGACTCTAAGAAATTAGTTCTTAGTTGTAGGAGTTGGAGTTGGCATTGCCTTCAACCTGAGATTGGGTCGTCGTCGGGTCAATGGGTCTTCGATTTTGGTGGGAGCGGCATAGGGGAAGAAGAAAAGCATAATTTGGGCCACTAAATTGAAAAAACCCACCCCTTTTGTTGCTTTCCCACGACTTCCCCCCGCCAGCTCACCTATTGCCTGACCTGTTTATGGCGATACTCATTCCGGCAACTTCCCTGTTGGATTCGACAGAGTCTTCGTCACCGTTCCTCCTTACATGCTGTCAATTCCATGTTTCTCTCCCCCAAGATATGACGATTTCGTGAATCAATCGACGCAAGTGTGATATTGATGTATAGAGGGTTGGATGGATCGGGGACTTCGAGATGGAGGTTTTCCGATCATGGAATCGGCAGCCACACAATTCGGCGGCCGCACAATTCTTCAGATGGTAAGAAACTTAGAATTGAGGAAATGAAAAATAGTGACCTCTTGTTGTTTTATTAATTTCACGGAGGAATCAATATGTCGGACTGGGAAGGTTAACAGAGATTGGGAAGCTAGACGCTACCCACTGGGAAGAAGAATAAACTGATTGTCTCCGTCATCGCCGGCACCAATCCGCATCTCTGCCATCGCTGGCACCAATCCGCATCTCTGCCATCGCTGGCACCATCGCACCAGCTGCCTCACCAAGGCTATGGAAATCGTCGTTGGTGATTCTTCATCGAGATTCTTCATCATCGGTGGAATCGTCATTGAATTCACTGTTTGCTCATGATTGAGCTCGAGTTTGCGGAAAATTGTTTGCAAAATTGTGTGGATGGAATTAAAACATCGACTTAACCTTCTCCCCCAGCGACAATGTCCACCGTATCACTCCCAAATGACGTTGAAGCATCATTTATCGCTAAGGACAAGTAGATCAACTTATCTCAACACAAATGAAGACTAGATCTATGCTTCTCAATTTGAGAATAATCAGAGCTCTTTGTTTTCTGAGAAGGGAGTTTCATTGAAGGATTTTGATTGTAGACGGTTTTTCACTTCCATTTAGGATGTAGAATCACGATATAGACCTTGAATAGGAAGTTTGTGAATCGTTGCTCCGGTGGCGGGACGAAGGTCATGTTGACCGATTTTTGATGCCGATGCAGGGATATTGTATCTCATTTATTATTTTGAGAGAGAAAAATATTTTTGTTTTTTTGTTTTGAAGCAGCTTGTGTAGATGCACCAACAATGTATGGAGCCACTTTATGTTGTTTACCTCTGTGTTGTTAGACTAGCTTAGCTTAATTGTTTAGTAGAATGCACCCTACGAATTTCATAAAGCAGACCACTAAAGCATACAACACATAATTCATAAGCCTACTAGAAACTTTCTAATATAGCCCGCAAACACATTAAAACAAAATCACAAAAACATACTAAAAACCTCCTAATGCAGACCACAAATCTCCTAAAACATACCAGAAACACCATAAATCATACCACAAATATTTCTAAAGCACACCAAAAACCTCCTAATGTATACCACAAACACGATAAAGCAAATCACAAAAAAAAAATACCAGAAACCTCCTAATGCATACCATAAATCCTCTAAAACAAACCAGAAACCTCACAAAGCATGCCACAAATATTTCATAAGCACATAAAAAACTTCTAATGCAAACCACAAACACAGTTAAACAAACCATAAAAAGCATACCAGAAACCTCCTAATGCAGACCACAAATCTATTAAAACATACAAGAAACTCCACAAAGCAAACCAGAAATAATTCGAAAGTACACAAAAAAAACATCTTAATGCAAACCACAAACACGATAAAACAAACCACAAAATGCAAACCCTAAATCTAAGAATGCAAACCACAATATCCGTTGGTCGTTTACCAAACTACAATGATTGTCGGTGACCAGATTCCAGCGCTTATAAGCATATTTCGGCCTCGATGACCAGATTCCGACGACGATAAGCATATTCCGACCCGATAATCCAATTATGGCGACGATGAGCATATTCCGGCGATGTTGAGCATATTCCGACGACAATGCGCATATTTTTGCCACTGTCGACCAGATTCTAACGACCGATGACCAAATTTCGGGGACTGGTGATCGGTTTTCGACGATCGGCGACCGGATTCTGGCGACCAGTGACTGGATTCCGACGAACAAAAAATTAGGACACAAAATAAAATTTTAATTTTAGAATTATTTTAATTTTCTATTTTTTTATTATTTAATATAATATTCATCATGACTATTATACTTTCGTTAATTTTTCACTAGGTCAACCTAGCTAATAAAAAGTAATCACAATCCTAGCTTTCTATTGGGTGGACACTAGTGTTGTCAACCTAACAACATAAGGGTGTTGTTTGTCACCCTATCTTTTCCCGAAACCAGGATAGTGGAGAAGACAAAATCGCGTGAAGGAAATCGAGAGGCGACAAGAGATGTTGAAACTCGTGACAGCAGGAGGAGACAGAATCACATGGAGGAATTCGGGAGACGACAAAATATGAAACGGAATCGCGGAGGAACAACGACGACTATAACAAAGATGGAAATTCGCGACAGAGGGAGGAGATGGAACTAAGGAGAAGAAATCGGAAAGAGGGGGAAGTTGAAACTGAAATGAAGTTGAGCAGTTGCACGCACGAGTTCATTTATTTTAGATGTCTTGACTCTTGGGTTGTCGCCAAGTTCTAGAAATTTTGAGGTTGTGCTGGATTTCAATGTGAAATTCGATCCATTCGTCGTTTAGTTTGGAATTCTCATATTTAAATATCAATTTAACCAAAAGTTTCAAGCGTGGTTTACATTGAGTTTTTTCAACTCCTCAAAAGCAAAAAATTTCAAAAATTGAACACCATCACTTGTACTCACAAAAGTAATTTAATTTACCTATTAATACTCTACATACACCTTTGAGTTAGTTTACGCAGATAATGAAGAGCCACAGAGTTCTAGAAGATGATCCCACAAAACCGGTTTCACTAATTTAGGAGAGCAGACGTGGCATCATCCAGCTGCCCCAGCCTGTACACAGCTCGACCATCCAACCGCTCACAATCAACCCCCACGTAATTCCGAAAATCCCAGCCATTAAAACTGAAAACCCCAAAAGCACCAAACAGAGGGATGTTTCTTTTTCTTTTTTTCCTTTTTTCCGTTCCGTTTTGACTTTGACCTGGGGTAAAACGGGAAGTCGAAGCGAAGCTTGGCTGGCAAGGAATATCTCCGGGGAACTAATCAGGGCAAAATTCATGGGGGCAGGATACGTGTTGCTACAGTAAAGGAAAACCTCCCAACCCTTTCCCCTCTTTTTTTTTTTATAAGAAACAAACGCTCGTTCACGCAAAAATCAATAATAATTACCCCATAAATTAAGCAAGAACCAAAACCAAACCCCGCCCGCTGTGATCAATCAATTCAGTTGATCGAGTTGGGGTGTGGGAAAATCCCAGGAAAACCAAAAAGAAAAAGAAAAAAAAAACAATGGTGAAGGAAAGTGCGAGGAAGTGTTCGCACTGCGGCCACAATGGCCACAACTCCAGGACGTGCAACGCTGCCAAGCCACCTGCCGCCGGAATCAAGCTGTTCGGCGTCAACATCGTCGAGAAGTTGGCTGCACCGGAACATCAGCCGACGTTGATGATGAAGAAAAGCGCCAGCATGGGGAATCTGGACTCATGGATCAACGGCTCCGTTGGCCAAAATGCGGTGGTGGAGGAGGCAGGGTATCTGTCCGACGGATACCTCAGTTCCAAGCGTGGCAAGGCGGCCGCTCACGAAAGGAAGAAAGGTACCTACCGACCACCTTCTTTTATTCTCCTTGTCCATCTGTTTTAGGAAATTACAAGGCAGGGGTTTTTTTTTTTTTTGGTTTTGGTTTGGGCAGGGAAGCCATGGACGGAGGAAGAGCACAGGGTGTTTCTGGCGGGATTGAGAAAGCTTGGGAAAGGGGACTGGAGAGGGATCTCCAAGAAGTTTGTGACGACCAGAACTCCGACGCAGGTTGCGAGTCATGCACAGAAGTATTTCCTGAGACGGTCTTCGATCGACAAAAGGAAGAGGAGATCCAGCCTCTTCGACATGACCCTCGACGCTGTTTCTTCTTCCTCATCGATATCACCTTCTTCACCATCATCCGCGGTACCCCTCTTCTTCTTCATGATCCATAACATATGCATGTGTTTTCCGGTTCACACCGGGTTTTGATAAGAGCTACATACATGTATAAACGCAGGTTTTGGGGTCTCAGGATTTGGCTCCAGTAATCAAGACACCAAGAACGTACTCTATCCAACAGGCAAGTGTTCCGCAATCCGAGAACGAGAAGGTAACCGAAACCCTACTGCCATTGCCAACGCCACCTTCAACTCGGATTGCCAACAGCAACAACAACAACAGATTTCCACATCTGGGCATAGAGAGTTATCCCAAGTTTCAACCAGCCACAACCACCAGTGCTCGCTTTTCCAGTTTCCATCCGGGTCCTTACATGGCAAGGATTTTGATTGAGTACCTGATTCAACACTGAAACATGATTCAACCCATTCTGCTGAGTTTGACATCTCTAATATGTATGCAGGACTTTCTGGCTTCCAAACCTGTTGTGCAGAACTTCATGTGCCACCCGAGTTTGGTTTACTATACCCCTCCAGTTTTTCCAGGTTGTTTGCCTGTCGTGGCTCACCCTTCAGGAATACCATGGCCAAGGTCGAGTTTTGCACACTCGCAGCAGGTTTCGTCAGCTTCGCCAAGTAAGAAGCAAGATCCCCTGAAGCTGGAGCTGAAAGTTGGAGAGTCATCTTCTGAGTCAGCCTCGTCACAAGGAGCAGCAGCAGCAGCAGATATCCCATCTCGTCCCCCTGGAGCAATTAGTGTACAATGAATGGGAAGGCACCTAAATTTTTTCATTCTTTTCTTAGTTTTTGACAGTAGTAGGAATAGAGTGGCATGTAGGAGTAAAGTATATATAGGTTAGTTTTTCCAATAACGTTTTTGCATTCAACGGAAACTTTAATAGTTCTGGCGTGATGCAATGAAATGTCTGATGAGATTGAGAAAGCTACCAAATGTTGAGCATGGAAGGCTTTTGACATAAAAGAACAATGCCATTACTGAAGCTTTTGGGTTACGCATCACTTTGGGTTACGCATCACTTTGTACATGGCCTTCACAGTTAGACCCAAACAAAAAGAAAAGGGAACATGAACAAGAACAAGGAACAAGACGCAGGACGACCAAACAGCAGACGTGTTTAGATGAACAGAAAAGAGATAATTTTGTGATGGACTAATATAGGGAATGGATTATGATCAAGGCTACTACTAGTAAGAAGCCAATCCTGCACATTTGGTGTTGTTGCCAGTCGCCGACCAAATGCGAACTAAGACGAACAGCAACCAGACTTCTGGTCAACTGGCTGTCCACGTATCTGCACGATTGATGGCTTTCCAGCATTTGATGCTGGCTGACTTGCCATTCTGCACAGATGAAATTGAGTAGACAAATGTATGAGACAACGATATCTGCACATCGAGTGAACATTCTCCTAAGGCACCAAAGTATCAACTGCTCCTGAAGTTCAAATGTATGACTTGATGGGTGCAAACGAGAGATATCAGGGTGCCCATGCCCTTGTCTCTATGGTTAGCTTTTTTTTTTTTTTTTTTATAATGGTCTCTATGGTTAGCTTTTAAGCAGCAACAAAGAATTAACTAGTTCTCTGAAAAATAATCTGTATGCTTCTTTGCCTTATCATTTAAGCTATAGTAAAGCAGTACGCTAAAGGGACTCAATCAACACTCAAACAAGCTGTCAACAGTTGGTGACAACAACTACGAAGATTGAAAAAGATAGCACATGTAATAAGTACCAAAGAGATACCTCTTCTTAATGTCAGCAGACATTGCCATAAAAGCCTCCTCAACATTGGTTGAACTTTTTGCACTAGTCTCCATGAAAGGAATGCCAATTTCATCTGCAAATGCCTTTTGAAAGCGCAGGAAAAAAGTTTTAAGGGCCATAGTTGCTGAAAAAAGGTCAAGGGTCATGGTTGCTGCCTTTCTCTCTCTAACACAATCAGGTTGCAGGTGAAATGAAGTATACCTTGGCAGTTTCATAAGACACAACTCTGTTAGCAGTGAGATCAGACTTGTTCCCAACCAAGAGCTTGTTTACATTTTCACTTGCATAGCGGTCAATTTCACTCAACCACTGCTTAACGTTATTGAAACTTTCCTCATCCGTCACATCATAAACTATCTGCCAAATACAACCGCAGACAGCTTTATGAAATATATTACCCGGGACGAATGAGAGCACTCCACAACTCACAATACCGAACATGTCAAACTTACGATAATGCCATGTGCTCCCCTATAGTAGCTGCTAGTAATTGTCCTGAACCTTTCCTGGCCAGCAGTGTCCCACTGGGAAAATTTCAAGAACGGAAGAAGATAAATTGTATAAGGTTTAGATCACAGAAGTAAGAAACCATAAGAGAGGCAATGGCAAACCATGTACTTACAATTTGGAGCTTAATTGTTTTCTCATCTTGCTCCACAGTTCGGATTTTCTTAAAGTTCATCGGATGAAATAAGCATAAGTAATCAAAACCATATATAAATTTTCAAGAACTCAGAACTGCAAAGCATACTCACAAAGTCTACACCAATTGTGCTAATGTAACTTTCCAGATACGAATCATCCTGCAGCAGAAGCAGAGAAGGGTTAGTTTGTATGAAGCTGTAGCTTCAGCTCCAGATGGAAAACGAAGACAAGTCCAAACATCAACTGAGCTTCACCACTACTCAGCATTCTGCGACTAACCAGACACAACCACTACAATTAATGCAGATTCGTCTCCTAGATGACAAGGAGTTCAAAACCAAGCAGCAGTATCTATGCACAGTTGCCCAGCTCAGATGACAATTGGATGTGATCTCTAGACCTACAGGGCAAGAGATGCCATGACAGGGAAAGAGAGTAGAAACTGCTTACCGCAAATCTGAGAAGGAGACATGACTTGCCAACTCCAGAGTCCCCGATAAGCAAGAGCTTGAACAGATAGTCACTGCATCAGACAGAAACCCTAAACAAATGAAATACACACACTCTTTTGACGCCTGAGGTTCAAACCACACAAAAATGAAAATTCCCTGCAAAATTTGCTTATCCTTCCCCTGATCACAGGAAAAAAACAACCAAAAAAACCAGCGAATTCGTATGAAGCGCCATGCAATTGATCGTTTCCCTTAAAGGTTTACCCCCCTGAGAATAGAGGACTTACTACTCGGGATTCATTTCTGGAGTCGGCGACCAGATGGACAGGTCCGGCGGGCAACTGAAATGGAATTTTATGAGAGAGAGATTGAAACGCACAAAAAAAAAAAAAAAGGAGATCGATATTGATTCCAAGCTTATGAGGTGACACGATGAAGAGTGGAATTGAGGAGCTGGCAGCTACTGAGATGAGCGGCAGAGGGCAGGGCACCGACACCCCTTCTCGTGGCGTTTGCGGCAGAAAACAGAAGCTGTGAAATGTCTTTTTTGTTGTTGTTCTTGGCCGAGTTGGAAATCAACGTCCGCCGTCCATTAATTAATAAATAATAATAATCAAAACATAATTTTTTTAATAATAACCGGTTACAATGTGCTACTAGAGTAGAGGTGAAGGGGAAGTGTCGTTACTAAGAATCTAACACACGACTAGGGATGGCAATCAAATCCATGATCGAGGGTATCCGACCGCCCCCGACCCAGTCAACGTGGGGAATCCCCGCATTGACCGGGTATGGGTAAAACTCGCAAAAAGTTTGATGGGTATGGGGCGGGTATGGGTTTAGCCTCCCCCGACCCATATCCATACCCATACCCATACCCGCCCCACCAAAAACATTTCTTCACATATAAAATGTACATTAATTAAATTGTAATCTATCATTAATAGCAAGGGTAACTCATGAAAATAAATAGTAGAAATACAATTGAGTGACCACCCAAATCAAAACATAATTCATTTCCTCCAAATCATCCTTCATTTTTTGACAGATGTACCAAAGTCAGAGAATAATGATTTGGCTTATATTGTTACTCTGTCTTATGGATTATTGGATGTTTTAGAATAAGATGCTTAGAATAGTATTAAGAATGATTGTTTCTTTGTCGACTTTATGAAATAGTAGGTGCGTTTAGTATTATAATTGAAATTTTTGTATGTAAAATTTCAGCTATTATAATGTAGGATGTACGAGACGGGTATTACCCATGGGTACCCGAAACCCACGAGTATGGGGATGGGTTTGCAAATCCTTCCCCGCATGGGTATGGGGCGGGTATGGATTTGGATATTTGAAAGCGGGGATTGGGATGGTTTAGGCAAACCCGCCCCATTGCCATCCCTACACACGACCTTTTAACGGGGAAGTGTGCCGACTCACCAGCTAACTAGCCCTCGTTCGCAACATAATTTGTAGTCATACTCTTACACAAAAAAAAAAAAAGAAGCTCCCATTGGAAATGCAGATTCGCTTTGACGGATATTTTCCGCTTTGATCCGTAGTGGGACGAATAAAATCCAACCCTTACTAGAACGGGACAAATCATGATCCGATCTGCTGATAGAACAAGGTGGATATGATTAATGTTGATGATCCATCTTATCCTGGCCCGCCTTTTGCATTGGGCTCTTTCATTAACTGATAAAAATAATCAGTTAGTCTGCCAAAATTCTCTTTTCAGAAAGATAAGAAATGGCTCCACGTGCTCTTATTTTTTATTTGAAAAAATGGGAATTCCAATAAAAAATAAGAGCATTATCAAAGTTTTTCAAAGAAGGGTTATCTTGACTCAGGTCCTAGATTCATGGAGATATAGAAGAGCATATAAGTTATCATGCTTGCATATCCACCATTTGAGTCTCCAACAATTATTCCAATAATTACATATCCGATTTGACCTATGGACGAATATGCAAGCATACGTTACATGCTTGTTTGAGTAATAGCAATGATATTTCCCACTATCATGCTCCCCAGACTTGATGGATAATATATCACTTCGAGAGTAGTAGCATGTTTATACCTTTCCTCTTAATATATTAACAAGTTGACAACATTTGAATAAGACAATTGATGAAGGAAATAACAAATGGGTCTTTAAAATGGATCATGAAGTTTTTCTACTTATGACTTTTGGGTTTTGAAGTCCATTAAGATTTTTTTAGAAACTTAGTGCCTTTCAAGTTTCTATTTTATGGGAGGATGGTTGAAGATGGGGCAGAGCGGATTATATATGTCCCATGCGGAGCAAAGTATGGGGCGGATATTTTTGTTCCCTCGTGGGGTGTTGGACAGAGCGGGTTACGAGTTTTGTGGCGCGATGGGGCAGGGCACGAATTTGGTACTATTCGCCTCAAACATGACTCGTTGCCATTCCTAGCTCCCACTAACGCATTAGTGGGTTGTTGTCCGTGGACCGGATAGTAGGGTGGAATCCTAACTAAACCAAATGGGAGATTGCAGTTTAGACCAAAGTATATGGTTTGGTCAGGATCGTGAGACAAGAATCATAGTCTGGTTTGGCTTGCGGTCTCCCCCCTTTAGAGCACGGCTTGACGTGGTTTGGACCGCAATTAGCCGTCACGGCTCTTGACCCACTACTTACTAATCCAAATTAAAATAACAGTAAACCTCTATTTCCATATTTGGAAAAACAACCCGATCCTAATAAATCCGAGTATAGCGAGGAAACAATTCGATCTTCCGATTATAGATTTCTGTACAAGCACAATAAATCTATTGATTCTTTATCCAACTAAAACCCAACAGACTACTTAAGTAATCCCTTCAGAGCATGGTCTGGTATGCACTTCAGAATGCTTAAGCTGATCTGGGAGCAGTCAACAGAAGGCTGAACAACCTGCCTAAAGACAAAGGGAAGACAAAGCTGGAAGCCTGCACAAAGGGGGAGTCATCTCGTCTGCAAACTAAAATAGAGGAGACAACCCTAGGGAATACTAGTGGGCACAATACGCGACCAACTTGCAGGGAAAAGTATTCAGATCAACATTATGGGGTGATGATGTTAGTTCATATTGTGAGTTGGAAGAGGAACCTGAAGAGGGACTGCATGATAGCTTCTCTGATGGGGAGATCTTAGAAAATGAGTCTGGCCCTGAATACGACTTCTAGAAGAAAGGTGCATCCTTTGAGTGAGGCAGAGAGTGTCTTTTTGAACGATTAAAATTGCACAGTTTGTTTCTTTCTTGTGAACTATTTGTTTGGCAGTAGAACTCTAGTGTCTATTTCTTCAGTTGGATTTTATGAGGACCTGATTTGCTAAGTTTCAAAGTTTGTTTGAATTCTACTTCTATCTGTTGGCTAGCGTGATCTATGATGGCTAACCCTTGTATCTGGTATTTTGTGTGATTAGCAACAAGTTCAGTCATTGCCAAACTGAGGACGAGAACGTTGGGGACAACGTGGCAATGACAATAGAAACCGCAGCAACTACCACGAGCTAGAGAAATCATTTACATCAGCACCCGTAGCAGCTAGCACCAACTGGAGAAAGATTACGGGAATCATCCTCAATGGCTCGCACCGAATATGGAAAGCTATAAAATCAAGGAGCAAGCAAGGAAAGTAAATAATTTGATTCAAACAGCTCTAAGGAGAAGACTTGTATATATGGAGAGCAGAAAACTAAAGTAGTAGTCAGACTTTTCTACGAACAAGAATCGAGAGCACAAAAGGGTTTGTGAGCGATTAAGGAGAGAAAATCGGACAAATTTTTGAGTGATTTCTAGAATTGATATTTGGGAATATCAAGTGTTATTAGCTGGATAGCTAGTGTGAGTGTGAGATTGGTAAGGTGAGATCTATTAACGGGGAGATCATCAATTGGTTTATGAGTGAGTTGTAAATCTGTGAACATTGTCGGAGGTACACTCCGATCATCTGACTGTGGAATAGTCAGTTTTGGGATCCTCATTCTCCAGACATTGGAAACCATGTAAAAAATCGTTTGTCATGTGCATTTTTTCTTAATCTGTTTTGCATTTTAGTTATGGAATTTTGTTCTTGGTTGTTCTTCTTTTGAGTATTGCAGGGCGCTCTTCAACCCGAAAGAAAAAGGAGCAATTGTTGGCTTGTTGGTAAAGCGCACAGTTTGTGCAGGTTAAGTAAGTTTGTTAGTTCATTCTTATTAGTAACTAGATATTTCTGGCACTTCGTTGTGCAAATTTTGTTATTACGCATATGTTTAGTTTGATTTGTTTGATTAGTAATGAGGGCTAGTTAAGGGGACTAGGAGGTTCTCAAACCAACACACCAAGGTTTGCAGGTTCAGTCTCTCAAGCTAGTTAAGGGGACTCATCCACTGAGGTAAGTTACAATGGTGATAGACCATATGGTAATCCTATTAGCCAAGCAAAGGCATTTGCAGCCTTCACTCCTGAAGAGATAGAATAGACTTAGGCCATAATTTCCTAGTGCTCTTCATCATGCACTGTTATGTTACCCTTATGTTCTTCTTTATGTCCATATTCATCAGTGGCTTCATCACTGCAGCTCCAAGTTGTTGTCATAACCTTCTCTCGATTCAGTTTCTTGTTTGGACAATCTACTCTGAGATGTCGTGGTCTTCCAAACCCGATACATGTGACAACAACTTTATCGACATTCAAATGGTTTTTGTGTCCATCAAATCCGTCTAAATTATTTTGGTCATGGTTACTTCTTCTCTTGCCAAATTGTTTGCCATCATAGTTCATTCTTTGTTTCCTCTTAAACTTTAAGTATTATAGTTGCTTACTTAGAAAAGCGATTTAACTGTCAACTTCTTCCTTATCATCATAATTTATATTGGGTTTTCAAGGCTAAGTCTTTCCTTTTCTTTTGTTTCTCTCCATCTTCAATTCTTAGAACGCTCTCATGAGAAGTGAGAGACCCTATTAGCTCATTAAGCTCAAATTTGGCAAGATCTTTTAATTCTTCAATAGCTGTGACTTTAGGCAAAGAATTTAACTTACTGACTAAGTTTGCATTGCTATATACCTATCCTAGCGTCATTAACCCACTAACGATCCTTGTGAAACAGTCATACATTTCATAGATGCTTTCATTTTTCAGCATTATGAACATTTCATATTCATTAACTAGCATCCTAATATGAGTATCATTAACTTCAGACGTACCTTCCTAGGTGATTTCCAATGTATCTCAAATTTCTTTCATTGATTTACACATAGCCACTTTCCCATATTATTTTCTGCCAACAGCACACTTTAGAATATGTTTTGCGTTGGCATTGATCTGAAGTTTCTTGAGATCATGTTATATCCAGATGTCAATCTCATTGCTTACTTTCTCTAGTCCTTTATGTATATTAATCCTGGTAAACATATCATATGCCTTCGCAAAATCCTCTATACAGCTCCTCCATAAGGCATAGTTATTTCCATTCAACTTGGGTGGACGAGTAGCTGAGTGCCCATCCATATGATTTGTAGGCGGTAGATGCTCACCATTCTGATTGATGAAGTTGAAGTGTACAGCGGTA